CTTTGCCAAGGGGCAGTCCGGTGGGGCATAGCGCGGTTGAGCGCCTGTAGCGATAGTTCTTCTTGGGAAATAGGCCGGTCGTGGTACTGCGGTCAAGTGTGCCACCTGGGCCAATGGCACGAAGGAAGGGACATCTGCTCCACATATGCTTCAATACCGTTAGGCAGTTCTGCGTGTACTGTTGGGAGGACTAAGCCTTTACACGCGTAAGGTGGTGAGAGGCGAGTACTGCCACCTGTCTTGGGAAGGACAGCAGAGGTAGTGCGCGCATAATCTTGAGGCTGCATGGCCAGCCTTGAAATAGGGAGGAGAGCGAACGTTGGAGGTATACAACTTCTTCCCAAAAGAGAACACTCTCTCTCTCAGTCTTCTTCCTCTTCCTCAAGTGAACTGACTTGATCGTCGGAGGGTCTATCCGGCACACCACCGCCGGGCAGCTCACCGTTTCTGTGTTGCCAGGTAGACGCCGTTAAGAGAAGCTCAGAGTACAAGGAGTACGGAAAGTAGAGGATATTTCGCCCCCGCACATATACAACAAATTATATAACAAGTTTATTGGACCATAGTGAAAACATTGTCAAATTTCAGGCTACATCCGTGGCTAAGATAAATAGTTAAAAAAAAGTGTATTTAAAATTTAAATTTGTGCAATGAAAATATCCAAACAAAGCCTGAGAAAATAACTGTCTACAACAAGGGAGTAAAATAAATATTGGGGCTTGCTTTTTGTACAACAAAGGACATTCACACTAATTATGAGTAAGAGTACTTCCAATGTTTCACCAAATTTTTCATTAAATTTGAGTACAAATTTGATCAAAAGTTTGATATAATATGATACACTCCAATATTTCAACGTAAATTTTCATCAAATTCATTCCAAAATCGATTGTCCGAGAGGTTGTTCATCCGGTCGTCCATCAACAGTCATTTGTAAAATTTAATGAAAGGATAAACACTCCCTTCATTTGATGAAAAAAGTACCACCCCCTTCATTTGATACCAATATGATAAAACAGTTGGAGCTTCGTTTTCATCAAATTTTCATTGAATTTGCATTTGACGAAATATCTGATACAACATTAGAGATGGCCTAACCAACAAGGATCTGATCAAAAAAAAAAAAACAAGAACCAAACCATCTCAACCATGTATTGCTTTTTTTATTTTTATTTTTTCCCCTTAAGTGATTTTATAAAAATAAAGATACACTACAAAAAAAATTATTTTTTGCGACGGCAAAACGCCGTCGCAAATACTCCAAACGCCGTCTTAAAAGGTTTTTGCGACAGTAAAATAGCTTTTTGTGACGGCAAGTGGGGGTCGCAACAAGGGGGGTTGCAAAAGGGTTTTAGCGACGGCAAAGTGCCGTCGCCTTTGTTTTTGCGAAGGGAAAATGCCTTTTTTGCGACAGAAAATTTCTGTTGCTAATAATGGATGAAAATCTGAGTTTTTTGCGACGACACAATATTCCCGTCGCTAAAAGTGTATTTGAGACAGCAACCTGAGCCGTCGCTAAAGGCGTTATGTTTCAGCCAAAAAAATTGCTTTTTGCGACGACAAAACGCCGTCGCTATAGACTGGAGCTCCCACAAGACTTGGGGTTAAAAACCCCATTTTGCTTAATATATAGTATAGATTTCTCTCTAAGGTACAAGACATACAATGCATACAGTAAGTGTACTTAGAAGCTTCCGTAGTCAGGACCATATAACGAGTGTAAGCTTATTGATCAAAGTTAACGTGGTGGTGCTTACCACTAAATTTTACCAATTTAGCTAGCTGATGAAAAACTTTCATCATACATGTAAAGAAAAACAAAAGCAACCAAAAAAATAAAGGGTACCAGGTAAACAGGGGCAGAACACATCACAAACACACTAGAAAACATGACCAACAAAAAAAAAAACTAGGCTTTCTAACATCATGGTGTAGTATGGTTTACGATCATGAACTCAGCAAGGAAACATTAATTATTCCTTAATTATTTCTAGTTTGATTTAGTTCTAAGGCAAGAAAGAAGCATTCAATTCAATTTTTGTCTCCCCAAATGGATTATCATGAAGATGAAACAAATCCACTTAAAATGAGTGTGCTTGTGAATTCAATATATGCTAAAATTAAAGCATCATACTTTGTCTAAAAATATTTTATGTAACAAGTATATGCTACATGGTGTTGTCTTCCACACATTATTTATTATGTGATAAATATGAAACTTGAGAAGTCACTTTGTGCTCAGCACAAAGTATTGAGTGTTCAGCCGAATCAAATTTTGGTCCCACTTTCTTGGGGTGACCATAATTCACATTGATTCAGTTTAGCCGTAAACTAAGACCAATCTATTACTTATGGTTTTATCAAATTTGAAACCAAACTAATTCATGAAAATCTTGAAACCAATCCAAACCAAACCACTAAACTAGGTTCAATTCAATTTGGCATTGTAAATTTTAAAAATATTATCATTATTCACAATATGATCACAAAATATTACTCACAACCTAAGAATTGTTTACATGACTGTTTGAAACTAATTCTATCAATATACAAAAATATAATATATTTATAATAGTAAAGAGTTATAATTTAAATATATACATAGATTTGATACTAATAAAATATTTTTGTATTTACATCCAGTAACAAATTACGATTCGGTTCATAACTATAAAATCACAGACCGAACCATAACATATAATTTGCCTATTTAAAAACTCATAACCAAACCGTGCATTGAGAAAATTAAGTCAAACCGTGTGGTTTGGTCTAGACGGGATTGGTTTACAATTTTATCAATTTTTATGTTCAACCCTACCACTTTTTACTACGTAACAAATAATAAGTGAAAAACTACGTCACATCAACTCGAGTTCATATAGCTTTTCACCTTTCAAATACCTCTAACAATTAAAAGTTGATAGATCACAATTTGCTGCCACTTTTATATTGCAATCCTAAGTGTAGAATGTCACGAAATAATATAACTTGGTGAGTTTGAGGTCGAATCCACAAGGATCAGTTTGTTCAAAATAATTATCGACCACTCAAATAAAGTAAAGAAAAATATAATTTTGAATTTTTGAAACGGTTGAATAATTGGAGAAAAAAATAATTAATTAAAAGATAAAATAAGGTGATTATAAAAAGGGTGCTAAGTAAGGTTTTAAAAAGCGGCCGCAACCGTTACGTAACACTGTTACGTAACGGTTGTGGTGGTTACCGCCACCCGTTACGGCCGCTTTTGCAGTGTGATTGAGATTCACAGGTGTGTCAGCCGTAGCGGCTGCCGTAGCGGTCGTAACGGTGTCGTAACAGCCGTAACGGCTTGTTACACACCGTTACGTAACGATTCCAAACTACTTCTTTCGAAAAAAACACAACAAAAAAAAAAAGAAAAAGAAAAAGAAAGAAAAGGAGAGAGAAATACAATTACTCATTTTTTACAAAGAAAAAAAAAAAGAAAGAAAAGGAGAGAAAAATACAAGTATGATGTTTGGTTAGTGTTCTCAAACGATGATTCCAAAACTCTGCACAGAACACCTGAAAATAATAATAATAATAATAATAATAATAATAATAATAATAAGTGTGGTCATTATCTATTTGGCTTGGTTAAAATATATACATATATTTAGACTCTTATTTATTCTCTTACTTTTGTCATTATTTATTTTATATATAATAGTTAATGATTGATTTTTTGTATAATATAAAATCATTAATTATTAAAATGAAATGTAAAAAACTCATTTTATGGTGATTTAAAAATATGAAATATATTAGATTATACTTAAAAATTTACAAAAGTTCATCAATATTTATTTTTAATCTAATAAATATGACTATGGAAAAAAATATACGTATCGGTAAGTTTTTTTTAAATTGTACGAAAAATAAAAAAATTCACGGTTCCGGTTACCGCAACTGTTACGCTACAGCCTTTACACCCCGCAACTGCAACCGCTTTTCAAAACCTTGGTGCTAAGGCATCAAGGATCCTCCACCAATGCTTTCTTTAAAATATTTTAGATTCAATTTATATAACTCAATTGAAACATACACAAAAGGTATTTTCAATCGGAAGATAAAAACGATTATTCTAGATAAAAATTAATTACTTTCACTGATTGATTACATCATAAAAATCTAGTAATTTGATTCGCAGGGAATATCAAGCTTCTATTGAACAAGATATTATACAGAATAAAACTTTTTCCAAATAAATAAATCAATCAATTAAAATAATCTGACATTAAAAACCATGATTGAATCAAAAAAATGTCTATAAAGAAAACATTGGGATTTCACCCATAACCTCAACAAAAGAAAATTGGAATATCATAAACATAAAGAGCAAATAATATGTATTATGAATCAAATTTTATAGTATAACATCACTGCCATAGTGATAAACCAATTGATGCAATACACCCAATGAAAACAATTCCTTATTTTAGTATTCCACTTCTTCAGCACCTTAGACGTAGATGAACCAATTGGGATCTTTGGAACAGAACAGCATGCATCATTCTTCCAATAGTCTGAGTGGCCGTGTGATGTTGAATTCTTTCCTGGCAAGAGTTTGCTTTCAATGTGGCATCCTTTTTCTTTAATTGCCATTTAGCCCCAACATTTATCCTAATTGCAAATTATTCTGTAAAAATTAAAAATAGATCATTAAACTCACACCTAAGAATAAAATTGGGGAATTAAATCAATAAGAGTGTAGTAATGATTAAAAATAATAAGATAATTATACATTTTTAACCATTCATCACAGCTAATTTTCTCTCACTTCCCATCATGATCTTGTCCTGTGCAAGCTCTATATCAACCATGCTCACTACTATAGAACCATCCATTGCTGCTTTCAGAGCATCTATATGTTGACCAAGTTTGCAAGATCAGCACCTGAAAACCCATGGAAAATTTTAACAGATTCCCTGAATAAACCAGCTGATAGTTACTAGCTAACCAAATGAACAAAAAAGCACAAATAGGACAAAACACATCATTGATTTCTTGCTTCATGAAGTTGTACAGTACAATAGGATCAATGCCACCAACATACCAAATGCAGCTGACAACTTATAATTAGCAATGGGGATGATTACAGGAAACTGAACAATGAACCAGCACTTTTCCAAATTGTTCTTTCCATGTACTACAACAATGCAAGATATACATATAATTTTAAACGCCCTCATTTAGGAAAATCATGCCAAGGGTCGGCACAGAAAGCCTGCAATCGTAGATTGAAGGCCGCCCCAACATCACCACATGATCAGGAGATCCCAAAGACATTGAGACACGGACATTTTCCCATTTACATCTTATAGTCATTGACGGTCTTATGCCTCAACTGCAGATATTTCTTCTTCATCAGTCGTATCAGATGAAACAACTGGCTCTGTAGGGTCAGCATCCACAGCCTCTGCCTCAGATTCCTTTCCCTTGTCTTCCTCAGAGTCGAGCAACTTTTCCCGGAGCTTCATCATAAGTTCCTCTTTGACACTTGGGTTAGCAGCAAGGAATTGTTTGATAGCATCCTTACCACGAAAACTCTGACCGTTCATACTATAAAATGCACCTCCCTTTGTTATGAACTTGTGTTTGGATCCCAGTTCTATGAGCTCAGTTTCCTGACATATCCCTTTGCCAAACTCAAGCTCAAATTGTGCAGTTCTAAAAGGCGGGGCATGCTTATTCTTCACAATCTTTACGAGAACTTGACTTCCAACAGTCTGCAAAACAAAAAATATATCCCGGAAAAAATAAGTCCTATCTCATTCAGGGACCAATCTGACTCCTCAGACGTCTTTATTCAAGTGGCTCACACATGAAATTAAATTCCACTGGAAAAATCCCAACATAATTTAAACATAGTAAGGATCCACATATAAGGACTGCATGGTAAGGACTAAGATGGTTTTGGAAATCTACATTTATCATTAAATAAAATGATTAAATAAAAACACAAAAGTGTCATTGCCAACCTTTTCCTAATTAAGATCTGCTAACTATGGCAAAAGCATAAAGGTCTAAAAAGCCAAGGTCTGGCCATCAAAGAAATACCGACACTTCTAAAAAGGTGGTGTGCCGTGTCCGACCCCGACACGCCAATACAAACAAGTCACGCCTCACGCCACAACACTCCTCAAAGTTCATACACAACGAAATACATCCTATTTTCAAAAAAATTCTACACTCAAACACGCTTTAAACAATTGGACTTGGAGAACACATCTATTGTTGAGACACAAATAAAACACATCACAAATTTGCAAAAAATATCTTAGAATCCAATAATAAAAAAATACTATAAATTTATACATGTTCTCCTCTTTTAAAGTTTAAAAATTATTATATTTGAATTAAATATTCATATATATGATATATAATAATTGTTCATCCTTACTTATGTCATATAATAAATATAAAAAATTATGTATTTTGCACATGTCCCCCACGAACATGGTTATCAAAAGCCCGATCCGGATCGTACGATTCTAGTTGGGCTAAACGATCCGGATCAAACTAAAATCTTAAATTTAGGATCTTAAAGTGATTACAATCCTAATCACAAAATCATGTAAAATCGCATTACGATCCAGATCCTATAACAATCTTATTATTTATTTATTTCGGGTGATTATTCAATAGTTCGAGAGTACGGCCACGTGTTGCTCCATGGTAGTATGATTGGTGGAGAAGGTGGAGTATTAATTATTTGTGTTTGGTGATTGAGGAACATGAAAGGGCATAATGAATAGTGATTGGTGAGGGAATATGGCCACGTGGTATTCCATAACTATTGCATAACTTTTCTTATTTCTTATATATGTATGTATATATGCTAAGAAGCACGGACACCTCTCTGAGGCTGCGCATTAGTGTCAGACACGTGTCGGACACAGAAACATGTCGGGCACGTGGTGGGCACGTGTCCGACAAGCAGTAGAAGGTGTCTGATTTATTTTATTTTATTTTTTTTGGCAGCCGGACACGTTCAAGACACCGCGGGCTGAAATTCATAATTTATGAAACTTTTGTGGGGGTTAATTTGTAAAAAACAAAAATAGATCAATTTGTAATCTAGAATCGAACAGAGAGAACAAAAGAGAGAGAAAGACTCGTAGGGCACACTTGGTCACTCTTCGCTGGTCAGTCGTCGCTCATCTATGGTCGGTCGTCGATGGTCACTGCTCTTGCAGTTATCCAAGGTACAACTTCTATCTTCTTCTTCATTCGTTCTTCTTCTTTGATCTTCTTCTTCTACTCTATTCTTCAACTTTTATTTTCTTTTTCTTTTTTCTTTTATATGCTGATTGTGACATCTCTCTCTCTCTCTCTCTCTCCTATTTTTTTGTTCTTCTCTCTCTCTGCCTCTGTTATTTGATTATATTCTCTCTTTTTTTTGCTGATTAGTTTTGTTAATTTTAATGATATGTGTCTATTAATTTTATTTATAGGAACCAATTTTTAATTCTGAAACAATGGCTACCACGGGTGGATGTGCATGATATTTCTAATGACATACATGATATTTCATTGTAAATTTGATAAAAGAAATGATTAATGGGGTTGGGGCAAGTAATGTGGTTCAAGTTATCACAAATAATGCTCATAATTGTAAGGCAGCCAAACAATTCATTGAAGCTCAATTCTCTCATATTCTATGGACTCCTTGTGTGGTGCACACATTAAATCTAGCTTTGAAAAATATTTGTGCTGCAAAGAATATTGAGAGGAATGAAGTCACATATAAAGAGTGTAGTTGGATTAGTGATATTGCCGGAGATGGTTTGATGATTAAGAATTTTATCTTTGATCACTCTATGTGATTGGCCATGTACAACGAATTTGTGCCGTTGAAGTTGTTTTTGGTTGCCGAAACACAATTTGCCTTCACAATTGTTATGCTCAAGAGGTTGAAGCTTATAAAACGTGGTCTTCAAGCAATGGTAATTAGTAACAAGTGGAATTGTTATAGAGAGAATAATGTTGGGAAGGCAAAATTTGTAAAAGAAAAGATTTTGGATGATGTGTTGTAGGACTACATTGATCATATTTTTTCCTTCACGGGTCCTATATATGACATGCTTAGGGCTTGTGATATGAACAAGCCTTGTCTTTACTTGGTATATGATAAGTGGGACACAATGATAGAGAAAGTGAAGATGACAATATATAGGCATGAAGGGAATAGACTAGATAAGGAATCTACATTTTACAATGTGGTGCATCAAATTCTCATAGATCGTTGGAATAAGAACAATATTCCTCTCCATTGTATGGCACATTCATTGAATCCAAAGTAAATACCACATTTAAATTTGGTTTAGTTATTTTATTTTAATGGACTTATCTAGTCTTTCTTGAAATAATTATTTTTCCTATTTTGTATTGTAGGTACTATAGTGATGAGTGGCTCCATGAGGATCAAAATAGAGTTTCCACCACATAGGGATGAAGAGGTGACACGTGAGAGGAACAAGTGTTTTAAGAGGTATTTTGAAGATATCACGGAGCGAAACAAGGTGACAACAGAGTTTGGAAAATTTTCAAGTTATGTTGAAGCATTCTCAGAATATAATTCCATTCATAATAGGTGGCACATGGATCCTTATACTTTGTGGTGTGCATATTGCGCATGTGCACCAACTCTTCAAAAACTAGTTTTAAGACTACTTGTGCAACCCACCTCTTCATCTTATTGTGAGAAAAATTAGAGTACTTACTCCTTTATTCACTCAGTGAGAAGGAACAAAATGGTCCCTCGACGAGCAGAGGACTTGGTGTTCATTCATAGCAATCTTCGTCTTTTATCAAGGAGGAGCTCCCAATACTTGCAAGGAGAGACAAAAATGTGGGGCATTATAGGAGATAACTTTGACCCACTTGATGATATCGGAATGCTTGAGATAGCTAACCTCTCACTTGATGAACCGGCTATGGAGGCGGTCCTATTTACAAATGAAGGAGAAGATGGAAGGAGTGGTGAACATGTTGTATTAGTTTCTCTACTTAGGTTTACATTTTCTAATGTTTATGGATTTTGTAATAGATGGTGGTTGTTGGTACATTGGATAATTTTATATGTTGTGGTTTGGTTGTTAGTACATTAGATAATTTTTTATGTTGTGGTTTGGTTTTCATGCATTTTGTAACAAAAGATAGTTGGTAGCTTGGAATGACATATTATATATTGATGGAATACAATTTTTATGTTATTTGTGAATGATATATATGATGTTAAATCAATGAAATGGTTTTTTTTATAATTTTAATAGTGTTATTTTGTATTTTTTATTATCTTTCAATGATTTTTTTTTTTATAATTTCATTTCATGACATATAATAAATAAATAAAATTATATATATTGAACGTGTCCCAACGTGTCGTGTCCCCCATTTTTTGAAAATTTGTGTCCACGTGTCCGTGTCATGTCTGTGTCGTGTCACGTATCCGTGCTTCATAGTATATATGTATATCTATATAAGAAATTTGACTATAAATTCTTCCTACAAACATCTCTTCTAATTTATGATAGCATAAAAGATGCATTATATCAAATTAATCATTTTTCTTTAGTGATTTTACAATTATTTAGCATACGTTATCATTATAGATAATTTATCATTTTATTTTATATTAAAAGTAGAATCTTACGATCCTCAATCCAATTCTACGATCCGATCCACAATCCCTCCCAACAATCCTAAGATCCCAATTTTAACAACCTTGCCCACGAGTCGTGTCCTACATTTCTTTGAAAATCTGTGTCATCGTGTCTGTATCACGTCATGTGCCCGTGCCTGTGCTTTATAGCTGGCCATCAATTTTTAACAACCTAACTGTATATTGAATCTAAAATAAGCAATGTTAAGTACTAAGTTGCCCCTAATCAAGTGCATTGAGATCTAATCCTCACTTCAATGTTATAATTTTTTTTTTTTTTTTGGCCCTTGCAGACCTAATCTGCTTCATCTTTCTGTTGTCTCCAATTTTCCAGCACAAGAACAAGTGCACATGTCCAGTTATAATGCCTAAGACCACATGCTTCAAGTTTGAGGATCATGCACAAGTCATTTTCAAAAAATAAGTTCAGCCTAAACAAATTGCTGTTAGTTGTTTTGAAACGGCTGCCTACCATCTTCCTTGTTAATGTCCATTGGCTTGTCTTTTATGCCTTCAAAACTCAAAACCTAACTTCAAGGCCCCACACATCATAAAAATGTAGAACAAATCAAAAATTTAATTAAACTCGCGTTTCGTAACCGCGAGTTCTTAATCAAACTCGCTTTTCGTAACAGCGAGTTTTAAATTTGGCAGCTTTCGCGTGACAGGGGTAGAAAAGTGTTGAACTCACGATTGTGAACCGCGAGTTAGCTCATTTTAGAAATTCTTTCAATATTAGGCTTAGTTTAAAAATTCCTTTATTATTTTGGCTTATTTAGGAAAATACCCCAAAAAAAAGAGCTCCTTAAAAAACAATTGTCAAACCCCACCAAAAGGGGGCTAGCGCAGCCAAAAACATTTGCGGTGGCCCCACTGTACAATATTATGATCACAAACAATTTTATTAGGAGCCATCTTTCCTGTTAATACATGCAAATACAATTAAGTGATCAATACTTACAAGAAAAAGAGGTAAATTACATTGACATCCCTTGAGGTTTTTGCTAATGACAACAGGCCCCTCCAAGTTTATGAAATGACAAGGACCTCCCTATGATGACAATTTGTTACAGATTCTTCCAACCATTATGGTGCCGCTAGTAAAGAAGGTGATGGTTTTTACTGAGGTCAGCAACAAAGTTCCCTTTAGTGCCTATGTTGCCTTCATTTCATGTGTACAGACATGATTGCCCTCCATTACATTGGTTAAAAGACAAATTATCTCTGCATTCCCATTAGTTAAAGATTGAGATGCCCTTATTACATTGCTAATAAATTCCTCTCTCTCTAGTAAATATGTGCTAGCATAGCTATATGGTTAGTTATTTGTTGTATTTTGTGTAAGTGTCAATTGGAAATATATATTGTGTTTGTAGGATTACAAACAACAAATGTCTACTTCGAGCATAGTAGGAAGTAATCAAAACCAAAATTACCCAAGTATCAGAATAAAAATTGAACTACAAACAGAGAATATGTACAACACATTAAAACCCATATCTAAACTCCCTAATTCAGCATCAATGAAAATAAGAGAAAACAAAACCAAATGCCGCCATCATTTGATGAAAGAAAACATTCCCCCCACACACACTTAAATTGTTTGACAAAAGAAAACAAACCCACACACTGAAAGAAAACAAATTCACACAAACACATACGTCAACCACAACACATAAAGCCCAATCATCAAGAAGAAAAACCAAAGATCATAAAATCCACAAACAGATCATTTGATGAAAGAAAACAAACCCACACAAATAGTTCAATCAAAAAGAACAAAACCGACACACAAAGCAAGACCCATAACACCCAACTCAATGATTTAGCAAATAATGCACCAATTCTTGCCTTACAATCCAAAATACAACAAACTTTGAGCAAATGTGATGAATCAATATGAGAATCAGAGCCATTTCATCTTCTTTTGGCTCCAAACTGACTCAAACAAAGAAATAATTCGGTTATAGTGATGAACCAATACCCAACTCTATTTTCTCTCACAAATACACTAACCTTTCAGGCTCTCACACATTTCAACAAGATTTCCTCTGTTTCTCTCATTTTCTCTAAGTTTTTCCCTCCCTTCCCCAACTCCTTCCCGCCAATGCACCCACTCCGCCTCTATGTACACCAGATGCATGTATAAGACGAATCACCACCACAAATGTGTTCTCAAATGTCTTAGTAAAGCAAAAGGGCCATTCAGTCTTTTTACATTGATTGACAATTCAGGTTAAAATATCTGCATTTAAGTGGGGCATAATGGTCATTCATCAATCAGCATTAACAATGTCAAGCAAAAAGTTCTGGAATGGGAGGTCCCTGTCATTTCATAAACCTAGAAGGGTCTGTCTGTCATTGTCAAAAACCTCAGGGGAGGTCAGTGTAAATTACGCCCAAAAAAACAACAGATAAATGAAAATTTACCTCCTCTCCCTTCTTGACAAGCCCTGTTCTCCTAATGTTTAGGCGTACTGAAGCATAGAATTTTAAAGCATTGCCACCACAAGTAACTTCAGTGGGCCCACCAAATCCAAACGTAGATAGCTTCGCCCTGACCTGAATAAAAAAGTAATAGATTAGGAAGTTTGACAATCAAATATATTGTGTGCAGGTTTCGGTGAAACTGCTTACCAACCGAACTGCTTTATCAGTGGGTATCAACATATTTCAAATAACAAACTATATTTTATAGCTCAAGAATCTGTATAGTAACCAACTAATTACACTTGTATCTCATTTAGACCCCCCCAAAAAAAAACCAATATCATTTAAATTAAATGAGTCAAATTTAGAACTTTAAGGTAGAAAACATTTTATGAGATTGTCAATAGGGGAAATTCCAAAATTTAGTTGTGAAACGTAGAATTGGCTGCCATGGTGGGCTTTTGGTCATAAATTTTAATTAGGATAAAATGTAATAAGTCCAGTGAACCTAAAGACGATCCAAGACTGGGAGGACCAGGTCTCTTGGTCTTACTTGGCTACCAAGCTTACTCAGCCTTCTGTCTTTTATCCTTCCCTTCTCATTATCATTCTTTAACCTTCAATCTATCATCTTAAAACTGTTTATTAGTTACCTTTGATGAAAGATATCCCACATCATGAACTCCCCCAAAAAATTCCACACAAAAATAACTAAGCTTTCAAAAAAATCATATTATACAGTGACATTTTAATAACATCAGGGATAACACATTTATATTTCACTTGGTTGGGAAGCACTTTATCGGAAAAGAAAATGTAAATGTAAGAGAAACTTGACCACACTCTCAAGGGAAAAAGAGTAAATTTTCCTAGCTAAGTATCAACTGTGTCATTTCTTAAGAGCTATGTTACATGGACTCGAGTACGGGTGTTGGGTGCGGGTATGTATCTAGAGGTCGAACTCATAAAATCATAAATTTAAGGGTATGCGGACTCGCCAAAAAAATGTCAAATTTATATATATATATATATATATTTTTGTTGATAAATAAGCAAATTTTATTAAGAAAGCATCAAGACGATGCAACCAATACAAGAAAACCACCCAATAACGGAACCAATAAAACAAGGACTAACCAATCATCTCATCTAGAAAGTCTAAAAACACAAATAAATCCGGATCTACCCTACCCTCCAACCAATTATACAAAACTAGAGAAAGGCGACTTTGAAGCCAAGAAACACTATACTTTTAATTTTTATATTTTTAATCTAGTATGTGAGATAAAATGGTATTATATGTAACTTACAGTGTCAAAATGACATTTATAATAATTATACAACAATATGTACATATAATAATAGTGTTATATACAATTATATAAGAAGTATCCGTTGAAAAGTATCTAACACATATTCCATACCCTTGTCCGAGTGTCGAGAGTCGGGTGTCTGACACATGTATTCGATCTATTTTGAAGAGTCCGTGTAACATAGCTTAAGAGAGAAGATACAAAGAGCAGAAAATCTTTACAGATAGAAATTGGTAAAAATAAAGAAAACAAAAATACACAAATTAGCCTACAGGAGTAGCTCCAAGAAAGATTCTTTTGCCCGTGATAGAAAATTCCACACATTTCCCATAATTCATTGACATGACATGGCTACCTGACTGTAACTTAGCTCTGAGGTTCGAATTTTCTTTAACGATTAGTCAATAAAAAAAGTAGAATAATAAATCTGAGTGCAATCAAAGCCATGAAAATTGGAAGTTGTATAAAAATGTGATTATGATAGAACAGAATAAATAAATAAAAATTAGAACAATACCTGATTTACGAATATCAAAATTGTCTGTGATAAAGACAAAGAGTGGCTCAATTTGCGGAGTGCCTGGCTCATCAATCTAGCTTGCATTGCCATGTGTGCATCACCCATTTCACCATCAAGTTCACCTTTGGGCACAAGGGCAGCAACCCGTAAATCAAAACACAAAATTCATAAAACAGAGCAGAAGATTCAAAATAGAGCCTTTCCCCCCTAAACATAGGACAAGTATTGACTACCAAAAAATTGACTCAAATTAGACAAAATGAACCATCTGGTCCGCATGGATTCAAACCATGTGCCAAAGCTGCATATGTGCAGCAATGCACCCCAAAAAAAAAAAAACCCCACAAGGATTCCTATCAAAAACAAGTTCACAACATTAACATGGAAGGGGGCGAAGATGAAAGGTATAACAGTAATAACACCATCACAAGACATTTTGAAGGAAACTCATGAAGTATGTCCTGCAAGGCTACAACTAACTCTAAACCATGATCATTCTTGTTAAATCACTGTGCACAGAAGCTTGATCTATGGAACACTTACACTGTCCACCACAACGACATCAACTGACCTATTCCACTAAACCTAACCCACTACACCACTACCACCTCCACTTCACCTACTCCTTACCTACTACACACTCACCCTCTTCTATATATAGGAATCATGAATCATTGTAATAGATAACAATTACAAACATCAATCAATAATACAATTCTCTTTTTCTCTTTATACACTAAATTTCTACAATCACTGTGCACAGAAGGTTGATCTATGGAACACTTACACTGTCCACCACAACGACATCAACTGAACCACTCCGTATTAGGGTATCCACAAGACTTAGAGCCTGTTCACCACAATCAGGTTGTGATAGAAGCAAATTTTCAGTATTTACACCAATAGCCTCGGCAAGTGCTGGATCAAGAGCATGCTCAGCATCAACAAAAACACAGTAACCTATATCCAAAAAAATGTTAATTAACAAGAAGAAGCTGGTGTTAAAATCCGTCACAAAGCAGACATTTCCTGTTTTTTTAAAAAACAATAGAAAAAATTTATGAATGATAACCAGCATTAAAACCAGCACATGCTTCCAATTTATACTAATATATCAAGAACCAGAAATCTGTGAATGAAGTGAACAATATATTATTGCTTTCTACAAGATGAGATGCTTCTTCCCACTTATACAACATTCATGATTCACTAGGCATGGCATGAAATACCTAACTTTGCAGTTTTCTTACATTTTTTTCTTTTTTCAAGCTAGGGAATCTAAACTTTCTGCTAGGCAACAAATGCATTGCTAGAAAACTTTTGTTATTTACCAACATATGTTTTGTATATTGACTTGTTTATTGTAACTTTTATTTTTGGCTTTGGGTGTTTTACTTCTTTTTGGTATTAGACGGAGAAGAGGGTCAATACATTGCACTGGGAAAAATAAATAAATAAATAAAATTGAACCGCATAGATGACTACATTGAACTTGATACCCCAAAGTGAAAACTTCATTACTTGAAGTTACCCATTCCAAACTCAAACTACCATGCGCTTTAGAAATTACAATTAATTAATATTTATTAGTTTAGAAATATACACTGTACACAGGACATTAACAAATACAATCAATCATCTTAATTGTATGACTTGTTCAGAAAGAAAAAAAAATTAAATATAGGTATTTCTAAGAGTAACCTCCTTGCTTCTGTGCTTCAGCAATTACATGTAGAGCAACAGTCGTTTTCCCAGAAGCTTCTGGACCATATATCTCCACAACACGTCCCTGCACAAATCCAATAAAAAAACAGTATAAGCAGCCAGACAGCAAAGACAAATTAACAAAATTCTCTCAGTCCCCAACCCCTTATAAAGATATTATACATTAGATTTAGAACATACAACCCTACTGGCATACACATTAAATTTTCATCCATACAGCTCCCTAGAGGCATAAATATCTAGATGTTTGTATGAGTATGTACATATGGTTTGTAATGTATCATTCAATTGGGGAAAAAATTAAAATAAATTACAATTAAAGATACAGAGTTCAATAAAATGCAAATGAGTTATTTTTATAAAGCTAAACAGTCAACATAGAGCGCCATAAATTATAATGCCACTCAGAATTACATATATTCCTGAAAAGTGTAGAAAATAAAGATATAAGAAGAACATTCATGAGCAGCATAACTTAAGGAAAGAACTGGCAAATCTCCCTAATTTAATCAACAAAAGACTTGGATCATAAAATGTAAATTTCAAAATAACCTATTATATTAGTTAAGCCTGTGCAGCAGCACAAGTTGAGCGAGTAGCTGTTTTAACATAAAGTATGTTTGAGCTGGTGATGGAAATGTGTGACAGTAGTTGTATCATGTAGAACAGAATATGCCTTGTGGAAAAAATAAATACCAAAGTCTGCCATAAGAACTTGTGCCTATATGACATATATGACACAGTGCATTATTACAACTTTTTTTTTTTAAACAGTTGCATTATCCAAAAAAATTCTTATCCTTATAACTGTTATATGAAAATCTGCAGCATAGGAAATAGATATTCATATAAATTCCAATTGCTGAAAGATACCTTCGGAAGTCCACCAATCCCCAGTGCTATATCCAAAGAAAAAGATCCTGTAGACACCACTGGAACTTGCTTATGAGAGGTGGACCGACCCAACCACATAATAGATCCCTTTCCAAATGAGGTAGTGATCTGATCCAACGCTTGCTTCAGGGCCAGCTCCTTTTTGGACAAATTCTCATCATTGGAATCACTGCCATCTGATTTAGATCTCTTTTTACCTTCAAATAGACAAAATGAGATTTATTAGCCCATATTAGCCTAAGCAGGAATACATGAATTACTAGGGAGAACAGAACAAATAGCATCCATATTGCTTGTCCTACTCTACAAAAAATGAATAGTCCAATAGGATGATATTCTACAGAAACACTGTTGAATAGGCAAAAGGATTTTAATGTGTCAAATGTTGAACAAAGGGGAAAAAAACTGAACTCAAATTTTCAATACCTTTAGTAGAAAAATTGCAGATCGAGGATGTTACAAATACCCCTTTCCTAAAACCCTGCAAACCAAACAGAAAATTAAAAGTAAAAAATTTATTTCATAATCATAAAATAAGATATTGCATCAACAGCACTTTCTTTTATTCATTGTAACAAACTTAAAACTAAGGAGCCACAAATAACAAATAGACAATTTTTTCAGAATAAACAAAATAAAACTTCCAAAAGTACACAAACAAAAGGTCAAAAGTGAAGGTAAGATCATTATATACCAGAAAGAAATGCGCAATTGTACTCTTTCATGAGGAATTTCAAAATTTTCAGACCTCTTTATCACACTTAAACCCACAGGGTAAGCATAATAGCAAAGAACTTTGCAGGACAAGTTGGGTTGTACAGTGACTTAACAAATCCAATGCATCTCCAAACAATAAAAATTGAAAAATCAATTCCATTTTAGTTGTTTCATTGATGTGAAATGGCAAGACCCTTAAACCCATTTTATCCTAAGAATTTGATAATATTAACTAAATCATAGATGCTAATAGCCCGTTTGGGTTGATCAATTTGGAGAGAAAATAATATGAATTAATTTTTCTTAAACTTAATCACCTGTTTGGATTACTAAAGAGGAGAAAATGGAAAGAAGTATAGTGAAACTGATTTCTTTTAAAATTTACATTTTGAAACACTCCAAAAGTAGAGACATTGGGAGGGAAAAGAAACAAAGCGATTACTAACTTTTTATAATATCAAAATTATTATAAAAAATTATTTTGGTAACTCAAATTGTAATAGTTTCTTTGATAGAAAATAAATTACAATCTTTTCTTTTCTCTCCAACTTAATCAAGAGAAAACACAATCTTTTCTCTTCTTTTCTTTTATTTTCTCTCATTAACTTAACAAGTCCTTTCTTTTCTTTCCTGTTCTTGGTTCCCAAACAGACTCTAAACAAAAAGCATCAATCGAAGCAAGTAACTAAACAGGCAATCCCTAGAATGATAACTACACCAAAAACTTGTACAAAAATTGCTTCGAATCACCATTATCAACATCAAAACCAACCCAAAAAAAAAAACCACCAATTTCGACATTTTGAAGAGCAAAAATATGTGACACCAAAATTTTGATGCATAAGATTATTCTTAAGAAATAGTAATTACAAGAGCAGGCAGTTATGTATAGCGAAAAACATTTTATATTTTTTTTTTAACTTCCTAAGTAAATCACATAATAAGCTTATATGTACACATACAACTTACATACTCAAGCTTTTGGTTTACTTCAACTACCTGTATATATTTATATTTTGCTTAAAAAGTACAGAAACTGATGAATAACCAATAACAAAACTGTACACACAACTCTTTATATGAAGCTCATTTTTGTAGATCCCACACCCATATAAAAGTTGTCTGATGCTGTGATTAATTTCTGTATTCCTAGAAGAATAGTTTTTAAACCAAAGCAAAGAGCTTTTCCACACTCAAAATGGAGTAATGCATTGTAATTACTCTCTACACAAGAAGTTCCATCCCACACAATTCAAAATTATTTTATAAGCAAAGCAACTTGGAACCACTCTCCATATAATCCTATCAGAACTATCTGAAACAATCGAATTAAATTTAGACGGATTTGGATAAAGACGTCAAATAACCCGAGTAACCCAAATTATACATATATAAATATATAAAAATATTAAATATACTATAAATTATTAGCTATTACATGATATTAAAGTAATTTAGATTATTAAATCATATTGAATATATATTATATATACAAATAATATAAAATCTTACTTTTTTTATTTTCACTCATAAATTGTAAAGACCATTATAGCGACATTTCTCTTATATTATATAAATTATTTGTTTTGATAGCATTAAATTTTAATAGTTTAATAATATAACTGCATAAAAAAAAAAAACGACGACGACGACAACAACAACAACAACAACAAAAATTCATTTACAATTTGGGTAATTCGGGCAATTCGAGTTTGACTTTGGTCGGGCTTAGACAGACAATCTCGGGTTACAATTCGAGCCTAGGCGGACCTAGGCAGGTCTCCGCAAAACTTGGGTTAGGTTTGAACAACCTCTCAACCCGACTGAACCCGTCCAAATTTCACCCCTAGGGATGTACGCAAGTCGGCTTGAGATGATTCTTGGAAAAGAGCGTGTATTAAATATCTCAAAATAATATCATAATTAAAATAAAATAAAAAATAGGATAATGAAAAGTGTATATAGAATTGTTTTAGGATGTAGGTTAAAAATTAACTTTTTTGTTCTTTTAATTTTTTTTGAAAAAATATGTAAAAAAGTAAAAAAATGATATAATCTGAAAGAGATTAAAAGTCAAAAAATTATTTTTAATCTCTTGCCAAAAGAAGCCATAATAATAAGAAGTGTGTATTGTAAAATTCTCGATTGATTCTCATAGAAGATCATCAATCAAATCATATTTTTGTAAATTGAAATACCGTTAATCAAAATTAACAAGCTAATTGAACATTTTAATTGCTTCAAACATGAGTTTGAAATGCAAAATAAATAAATATATATTTATATATATATATCAGTGAATTACTTTTTTATATAATTTCAAACATAAAAAATATTATTTATTATAAATTTTGACACAAATTTTACAAATTAATTAACAAAAGCAATCAAATTAAGAGAAAATTTAGGTGACATCATTCTAATAATGATATTAATATGGGAAATTTGGCTATAAACCCCTTTTACCTTCCTTTCATTGTTAAAAGAATTAAGAAAAAAATTAAATTTTCTAAACCCCTTCATAATTATAAAATATTACATAAAGGACAAAATTTATTATTTAAATATTTTTTCAGACTATTATACCCTCAACTAAATCTTCCCACCTTCTCCACCCACTCTCTCTCCGCCTTCTTGGTCTCTATGACTCTAGCCAGCTAAAATCGAGTTCATCTAAGCCTAAGATTCATTCAATCTTTGACCTAGAACACTGACCTGGTTCAAGCAATCACAATATGACCTGTGTATTTGAATTGAAGCCTAGTTTGAAGCTTTAATCTAATTTGCGTCTGCTAAGAAACCAAGGACTTCATCGCAAAATTGATCTGATTCGACAATCAACCCGAATTCAAGCTTCTGAAACTCGCGATTACGAACTGGAGTCCTTCGCGATCTGACCTTGGGTTCTCTCTTGTGAGTCGTCGTTTTTTGAGTCAACTTCGATGAATCAGACTTGTGTTTGCTATCTTGAAGTGAAATTAGACTCAATTTGAAGCTTCTATTGCAATTTGAAGATCCATCGAGTTCGCAATGACCACGTGGAGAAGAGTGCGGGTAGAGTTGTTTGGTTATACATATTTTTTTAAACACAGATTTGAGTTTTGAATATATGTATATATATATATATTTGTGTGTATGAGTGTTGTTGAACACATGTATTCTTTTCATTGAGATTTGTGATTGTTGATCGAGTTTTAGAAGTTTTTCTTCTCAATTAGATATGTTGATTTGTTGATTAATTTGTTTTGTTTTTGTTTGTTTGTTTGTTTTTTATTTATTTTTGTTGTTTTTTATCTAATTTCATTTGATAGAACCAGAGTAAAATTTTACTCTGGTTCTATCATTCTGTTTTTTTCATTTGACAGAACCAGAGTAAAATTTTACTTTTATACAGAGTAAAATTTTACTTTTGTGTAGAGTCTAACATTTTACTAGTTTTTCAGAGTAACATTTTACTCTTATTCAGAGTAAAATTTTACTTTTAGTTTCAAAGTGTAACATTTTACTCTTATTCAGAGTAAAATTTTACTTTTAGTTTCAGAATGTAAAATTTTACTTTTATACAGAGTAAAATTTTACTTTCATACAGAGTAAAATTTTACTCTGAAATATATAGTGAAGATGACTTAATAGGAGAGCTAATAGATATGAGGGTAATATAGTAAAAGAAACAAGTTTTAAAATATTAGGGGGTTTTGAAAGTACTTATATAATTCTTGTTATTTTGAAAGATAAATTAGATAGTGAGGGGGCTATCACCAAATCCCTCTATTAATATTAGGAAGAGATGATGGGTAGACAAGTGCAAGGTAACAAGTTGCATATAGGTACAAGTAAGTTAGGTCAATTTAAAAACACGTTGGGTTAGTTTATAAGACAAATTATAATTTATAGGCGTTAGTGCAACTTCAATGGTAAAAGTTAAAAAACTTTGTTAAAGTTATTTTTTAACTTGCTACCGTGAAAAAAACAGTTATTAAAAAGCTATTCCACTAACTAGTCTCATTTTATAAGACAAATTTTAATTTTTTAGCATTAGATCTGTTTTTCAAAAAGTATCTAATGATCACAATTGCTTTTGCAAATGTGGTAAATTTGGTTTAGCAAATTTTGACTCAAGGTTTGACACATCATTGAAGGAAGTTTTTTTGTGATGGTATAGCTAAAAATGACCTTAACTCAAGCATTTGGTATACCATTAAATAACAAACTAATTTTTGTGATGTAATCCACCCAACTTAACCCCCACACATTCTCAAACCACACAAATGTATTTAAGTTGGTGCGATTTGGCACAATTTTTCTCAATACCCTAAATATAATTGAATAATGAGAGGGTAATTTTTGTGAAAATTGGGCCAAGCTATGAGATGGTCATTATGGCCCAAAGTACGAAGGGCTGGGTAAAAAGGCCGTAAAGTTACTCCGGCCCAAGAGAGGGAAAAAATTACTCCGGCTCAAGAGAAATGTAAAGTTACTCCGGTCCGGAAGCGACTTGGAGTTAGGCCGATCTCAGAGTTAGTCCGGTCATGGCGTATTGTGTTTAGAACGGTCAGAACCTTGCTACTCGGTAGCTCGGTCTAAACACACCATGGTTTGTGCATGAGAGCACCGAGATACGAAGGAGTAAAAGGAAGAACCGAACTAAGGATAGTTCGGCCTACTCTGCGGCTCAGCATAGCTATGATTACTTCGGTTATGTTGGAGTTCGGCCATGGTAATAACCATCTCACTTGGTTTAAGCAGTGAGGGGGGTGTAGGAGG